TATGCAGTTGTCAGTACCGCAGCTGCGGGTTTCATCTTCAGTGGAACTCCCCACAGGACCACGGAACGTGTGAGGGGTGTGCCGAGATGGGTGCCACCGGGGCATTCGGTGAAGCTCCCTATGGGGACATGAAACACGCGCGGGGCGTGCCGACATGGGTGGCGGAAACGCATGTGAGGGCTGCCACTGGGGCCTCCAGTGGAGCTCCCTATGGGTCCCCGAAACATGATGCTGCTGCGGGGGGGGTGCCGGGATGGGTGGCCGAGACGCATGTAAGCGCCGCTACTGGCTCCCTATGGACCCACGAAGCGCGTGAGGGGTGTACTGGGATGTGCGGCGGGGACGCATGTGAGCGCCGCCACTGGGGCCTTCGGTGCAGCTCCCTATGGGGCCACGAAGCGTGTGAGGGGTCTGCCGAATTGAGTGCGGGTGGTGACGCATTCGGGCGGTGCCACTGGGGCCTTCGGTGCAGCTCCCTATGGGGCCACGAAACCTGTTGTTGTGAGGGGCGTGCCAGGGTGGCGGGGACGCATGTGAGTGCGGCCGCTGGGGCCTTCGGTGGAGCTCCCTATGGGGCCACGAAGCGTGTGAGGGGTGTGCCGAATTGGGTGTGCGTGACGCATGCGGGCGGCAGCACTGGGGCCTTCGGTGGAGCTCCCTATGGGGCCACGAAACGTGTGAGGGGTGTGCCGAATTGGGTGTGCGTGACGCATGCGGGCGGCAGCGCTGGGGCCTTCGGTGGAGCTCCCTATGGGGCCACGAAACGTGTGAGGGGTGTGCCGTTGGGGTGTGACGCGTGCGGGACGCATGCGGGCGGCAGCACTGGGGCCTTCGGCGGAGCTCCCTATGGGGCCACGAAACGTGTGAGGGGTGTGCCGAATTGGGTGTGCGGGACGCATGCGGGCGGCAGCACTGGGGCCTTCGGTGGAGCTCCCTATGGGGCCACGAAACGTGTGAGGGGTGTGCCGAAATGGGTGGGTGACGCATGCGGGCGCGGGCACTGGGGCCTTCGGTGGAGCTCCCTATGGGGCGAAACGTGTGCCGAAACGGGGTGTCACCGAATGACGCATGCGGGCGCGGGCACTGGGGCCTTCGGTGGAGCTCTGTGCGGGACGCATGCGGGCGCGGGCACTGGGGCCTTCGGTGGAGCTCCCTATGGAGCCACGAAGCGTGTGACGGTGTGCCGAAATGGTGTGGGTGACGCATGCGGGCGCGGGCACTGGGGCCTTCGGTGGAGCTCCCTATGGGGCCACGAACGTGTGAGGGGTGTGCCGAATTGGGTGTGCGTGACGCATGCGGGCGCGGGCACTGGGGCCTTCGGTGGAGCTCCCTATGGAGCCACGAAGCGTGTGAGGGGTGTGCCGAATTGGGTGTGCGTGACGCATGCGGGCGCGGGCACTGGGGCCTTCGGTGGAGCTCCCTGTGGGGCCACGGAACGTGTGAGGGGTGTGCCGAAATGGGTGTGGGTGACGCATGCGGGCGCGGGCACGGAGGCCTTCGGTGGAGCTCCCTATGGGGCCACGAAACGTGTGAGGGGTGTACCGAATTGGGTGTGGGTGACGCATGCGGCCGCGGCCACTGGGGCCTTCGGTGGAGCTCCCTATGGGGCCACGAAACGGTGTACTGGGTGGGTGAAACGCAGGGAAGAGGGGGAGGAGGGAGGAGGGAGGAGGGGGAGGAGGCAGCGGGAGGAAGGAAGGAAGGAGAACGCGGGGCACCGTCTCTTCAAAACGAGGACCCAACACCACAGGATGGTTGGGAAAAACAGCAACACAAAGCTTGCAGCGGGCTTCATGCGTGGGAGGGTCTCACTCCTACAGTAGACACGTGCGAGAAGACATCGTACCATAACGAATCGATTGGCACGTGTGCCGTCGAGCTTTGAGCTCCCTGAATTGCCCACGGCTGCTCTGGGTCCCCAGGTCCATCCGGGGGTAAGACGCTTCCGTCGGGCACCTGCTGGCATTCCAAGTTCGTACTTGAGGTGGCCTACTGTATCAGCGTCTGCGTGAGATATGAGCATCTTCCGCCTCTCAGAGTTTGGTCACAGCGATAACTGTTTAGAGATGTCGGGCGCGCCAGAAAATACAGAAACTCAGCTAGGGCAGGCTCCTGCCTCACAGAGGTCGGCCTTGGTTTTAACGGAGCGTGAACCGTTGAGCATCTTGAGCGATTTCCGCTCTTGAGGTTGTCACCCGAAAGGCTCTCGACACCATGTGTCGTGTGGATTTCGCGTCGTGGGCTCCTTCCTCTTCGCCACAAGGCCCATGGCCCAGTTTCTGCAGGGCGTTCAAGAGTTGAGCGCTCGCGACGGCGTCGCCGCAGCGTCGAGGCGTCGCCAACATGCTGCACTTACCTGACTCACTGTGACCCTCACGCAGCGGGGCCGCAAGCGCGCATGACTCATGGGCCAAGCTCCAGCAATCCATATTCGGCGAGGCTTGCGTGGCCTCGGGTGCAGGCGTCGCCCACGTCCTGGACGTCTATGGGGCCTGGAACGCATCGCGAGTACCCCTTCTGCCAAGCTCTGGAAGTGGAGCCAGAGGTACCAGCCGGCACGGGCCTGCCTGGCAGCGCTGTGCCAGGCACGCTGTGCTACCAGCAGCTGGCTGGGCGGGCGGCGACCCTCGACTCCAGCGCGAGGGGCTTCTAAGCGCAGCCGCGACGTCCGGCACCCCCCCTGCCCCTCACGGGTCGAGTGGGGCGGCGGATTTGGCCCAGGGCGCCCGAGGCTTTGGGGAGCGGCGGGCGCTGTGATCATCTTTCCGTGGGGGCGGTGGATCGCGGTGTGTGCGTGGGGTGCGGGCTTGGGGGTGTTGGCTGGGACAGGGGAGGGTTGGGGGTGCTGTCTCGGGGTCTGGGTTGGGCCGGGTAGTCCGGCTTCGGGCTGGGCCGCGCCTGAGGTGATCCATTCTCGGAGGCCCGTGCGGATTTTCTGGGTCGTCGCTGGACCACACCCAGCGGCGCCTCTGGGAGCCGCTCCTGGCTCGCGGAGCGCGCCAAGGGAAGTGGGGAAACCAAAAGGTACCGATACCGCTACTCCCCGGACCTCTCTCCCAGGAGGCCCCAAAAAGGGAAAACTAGGCAAGGGTAGCGGTACGGGTACCTTTTCCTCATCTGCGGCCCAGCGCCTGTCCAAGAAATCCGCACTGGCGCCCGAAAAGCTCAGTTCTGTGGAGTCGTAAAGCTCACGCCGCACCGAGAGAGACGGCAGCGGCCTCCAGTGCCAGCCTCGCCCCCAGTCCCCTTATTCGGCTCCCCTCCTCTGCTCCACCCTCCCTTCCCTCCCGCCCTGCCAGGATCGTCATCCTCTGGGCCCCTCCCCGCCACCCCTCCTCCGGTCTGCTGAGGACGGGAATGATGTCATGATGATACTGGCTCAGAATATCTAGTGGCCTGCGTTTCTGCAGCCTCTTTGGGACATCAGGAAGTCTCGGAAATCCTGGGGAATCTTGCAACGTGTCATCATCATGACCTCTTGCTCCTCTGGCTACTTCGCTCCCGCTCCCTCATGCAGATCCTGCTGGGCCCGGGAAGCAGCCTGGGCATGTGAGTGGAGTCGCTGTCTTCGACTGCTCAGCCTGCCCCGACACTTTGGGTCGGGGGTGGCTGGGGTCGTTGCGATCTGCAGGGGGTCCGAGTGGATCATTCATCGCGACGCCCTTCTCCGCCGCTTCGGCTACCCACGCTGCCCTTGCCTCCCGTGGGTCGGGGGTGCCTGGGGCCGTTTCCGCGGGAGGCATTTCTGGCTGGGGGCAGGAATCAGACTAGCCGGGGGCTTCTCTGGGAGACAGGGGGGGATCTGCCGGACTTCAGCGATCCCCTCGCTCCCTGGCTCGATCCGGCTTGTCGCAGGGCGGAGAGCGGAGGCAGGGGTTGAGTGGAAGGTTGTCCCCAGAATCTCGCTCCCTGAAGCCTCTTCCCGCTGTTTCCGACTGCTCAGTTTACCAAGGCGTCCAAGGTCTGTGGATATTGGGGTCGTTGCAGCTGGAACCGAGTCCGCGTTGAGAGCGGATCCGGCTAGTCACGGCCTACCACACGGACAGGCTGCGGTATGCCTTCCACGGACTGGTGAATGACCCCACGTTGGATCCATTTGGAGCTCCTTCCTTGCATCCGCGCACGGCTCGCCTGGGACTTCTCTGACAGTTGGGTGACCCCCTCTCCACCTGTCTCAGCAGGCCTCAGGCTCCAAGAGACAGCTCGAGAAATTTGATGATTCCCTCTGGCCTGAGCTGCTTTCGAGGGGAATTGGGCGCGGAAGCAGGACGAGGTCGTGCCGAGAAGGGCTCTCCTCCTGGCAGCCCTCCCGCTGCGCTCCCCATCGCGCCCACTCACCGCCCACAGCGGCCACCACCCCTCCACTCATTCTCCTCCCCCTCGTCCCCCTCCTCCTCCCCCCTCCTCCCAGATTCGGGCCCTGGGGGAGCCTTGTGACCCGTCTGGAATGACAAGGACCAGGCGAGAGTATTGTGATAGAGTGTATGGCGGCCTCCCGCCCAAGTAGCGTTGTTGATGTATGCTGCTTCGCAGTCGCTCCAAATTCGACCCCCCCTCCCTCCCCCTCCCCCCCTCCCCCTCCACGGGATTCGGCTACGCGCAAGAGTGACCCTGGGTAAGGGTGACCTTTGGTGCGCGGCTTTTTGGGGGCCGCGGAAGGACCAAACACAAGCGCGCAGGACGCTACTATCGCATCGCGTTCGGCGATCGGGGGACCCCAGTGGGCCCGCACCAGGGGTCACTCTGGCGAACAACCACCCTCACGTGTAGTCGAGAATTTCCCTCCCCCCCCCGTACCCCCCACCCGTCCCCGTCCACGGGATCCTCCTCCGCTCCCTCTTCATCCCTTTTTGCTCCCGTCCTCCCGAGCTCGTTCGGCAGTGCCCGCCTGCCTCCGAGGGCAGCCTCCCTCTTCATTCTCTCCTCCTGCCAGTTTTCCCAGCCTTCTCCTCCAGATCTCCACCCCTTCTTGGTCCTCTTGTGTCCTCCCCTCCTGACTCTCACCATTCCTCGACCTTCTCCCCCATCCTCTGAGAAGGACAAGTCCTCGTCGTCCTCCCGTCGTCGAATTCATCATGTTCCTCATCCACCTCGGCCCTTTGCATTGCCTTGCCCCTCTACCCCCACCCCTGTTGAGGATAAGCGGACGAAAGGCCCAGCGAAAGATGAATAAGAACAAGATGAGATCTGCCAGCGCCGGCTTCAGGCAGAGTCTGAAGCAGACAACAGGCAAGCAAACACTTGCAAGCCAGACGTAGCACGCACAGCACCATCACCATCGTCTTGCATGCAACAGCGCGAATGAACACACGCAACGAAACCAACAACACCGTGCACGCAAGCACGTATACATGAAATACGAATACAAGCTAGCAGGCGCCACCACGAGCATGTAAGCAAGTGCGTAAACAACGCACGAGCAAAATCAAGCACGCACGCAGACAAGCGAACGCGCACACAAACACATAAGCCATGCGAATACAAGACAGCAGGCCAGCCGTGCGTACACAAGCGAGCAAGCGCACAAGTCATGCAGCTGTCGCAAGCAAGCCAAACGAGTGCCGATAAGCAAGCCATGTCTACGAATGCAAGCCTCCGAGCAGAACTGCGCGACATGGGGATGCAATCAAACAAGTAAGCAAGAAATGCGAGTGCAAACTCGCAGACGCCCAAGCAAGCCATTCACGCTAAACCAGCAAGCACGCAAGCAATTAGGCCAGCCGAAAATAAGTCAGCGGCCACGCGTCGCATGTGAGTACATTCAAGGAAGCACATACGCAACCAAGCCATGACAGCACGATCATGCAACCAATCAACTGCCCGTTTGAATATGATCAGACAAGCCCTCCGCGCGACTGCAAGGAAGCAAGCAGGCAAGCACGCACCTCATGCTACAAGCAAAGCGTCGATCACGCAAGGCAAGCCGATCGAGAACGAGAACGCAAACAGGGAAGTCGTGTGAACACTGTAGGACAACAAACAAGCCACGTGAACAGCCGTGGACGAGACCCAGAGGGCCCCAGGGGGCTCCAACATGGCGCGACAAACTAGAAACAGCATGGGCCAAGGGCACCTCTAGCACCCCCCGACCACTGGTCTCTCGACCACGTGTCCTGGACCCAAAGAAACCGAGACGCGACTTGAACACAACAGATCCACCACCATGCCTTGTGCACGTGGAGGCATAGAAGAATGCCAAGGTACGCCTTGTCGGGTTTCGGTAATTGTCTGAGCCCCCCCCCCTCTCGTAGCGAGTTGCGCGCACCGCCCCCCCTCCTTTCCCGAGGCCATAGCCACTCGCAACATAAAACGTAAATTCGCGCTCCCGACGCCCAGATGCCGCCAAGACGGCCCAATATCGTTCCAAGACGGGCCACAGTAGCCCCAAGGCTGCCAAAAGTGGCTTCAAGGCGGCCCACGAGGCCGTCGAGGCGTCCCAAGAGAGCCCCACGAACCGTTCCAAGAGAGCCTCGAGAGGCGACAATTACGGATGCCCCCTTGCTTGTCTATATGTTCAAATTCGAGCTTCAGACGTCCTGAGACGACCCACGAGACCACCAGAACTGCCCGAAGATGGCCAGAAGGCCCCAACACGGCCCAAGATGACCCGAAGACTGCCCAAGAGGCACCCCCGAATGCTCAAGAGGCCCCCAAGAGAGCTCCAAGACGGCCCAAAGGGCTCCCAGACGGCCCAAGAGGCGCCCACGACTACCCAAGAGGGCCCCAGGACGGCCCCAAGAAGGGCCCAAGAGTGGGAACACGAACCCCCAATTCGAGCCCTTTGTCCCAAGGGCCCCCAGCAGGCCCCCATTGCCTTCTCGAGTAGTTGTCGCCCAGACTGCTGCGCTGGCACGGTGCCAGCTGGATACCGATAGTACTCCGCGGGCTCTCCATGGGCGCGTCCTGATTAACATGTCGAGGAGGATCTACTGCAGTGGCGACGGAGGCTGTACAGGAAGAGTAGCAGTACCAGTACCGTTTCTCCTGTGATCCCCAGACCCTCGACGTGATGACTTCCCCACGTCCAGAGTGTGGTTCGTCTTTTCTCTGGACACCCCGCGCAGGAAAGAACTCCTCATCCTTCTCCTCTTTTTCCCCATATCCTAAGTGGGCTCCTTGATCCCCGCATCTATGAGGGGTTGTTATTTACTCTGGGCACCCCCGTGCAGGAAGAAAAGCACATCATGTTCTTATCATCGCCGTTCACAGTCACCATCGCCACCTTACCACCATCATGATGAGCACCACCATCATCACGAGAGGCACCACGTCACCAGCATCATCACCATCATCAGTATCGCACCTTGACCATCACCACACACTCACATTGTCGTCATCTGTGAGTGAAGCGCGGGAGCCCTTCCCTATGGGCTCCCCACCTCCATGTTCGAATCCGAGGCGGCCATCGGAATGCCGGGTAAAAACACAAGTTTGATGACGCCTGGGGGCCGGAGTGTCCCGAGGAAGTCGTAAACGCAAGCCTCCTTCCTGAACAAACTGACAGGATGTCTCGGGCGCTCACTCGTCGGTGAGCGAATCGCGAGTAAGTCTCGAGCGGGAGCCCCTCCCCATGGGGTCCCCACCTCCACGTTCGAATCCGAGGCGGCCATCGGAATACCTGGTAAAAACACAAACTTGATCACACCTGAGGGCGTGAGTCCCGAGGATGTCTCGAGTGGGAGCCTCGTTCCGGAGAAACTTGAAAGGATGTCTCGGGCGCTCGCCTGTATGTAAGTGAATCGCGAAGAAGTCTCCAGCGGGAGCTCTTCCCTATGGGCCCCCCGCTTCATGTCATCAATCCGAGGTGGCCATCGGGATTCCCTGTAAAAGCACCGGCTTGCTGACAGCAAGGAGTCTGAATCTCGAGAGAGTCTGCAGCGGTCGCCTCCTTCTTTTGCCGAGCGTCCTTTGTAATCCGAGGCGGCCATCCTGATTCAAGCTTGTAAGCGTCGGCAGGGACTAGCAGATATCAGACAGGAAGAGAGCCTCCGAAGCCACAATGACGACGATGAAGATTTCTTTCAGACTTCTTCGGAAGCTTCTCATGCGGGGTCCTGCCGTCGGAGTGATTCAACAGAGTCGACCCCTGAAAGTCTCGACCCCTCAACTGGGACTGTTTTTTCATCCCGCATCGATTTCTGACGGTCACGAGGCCCGGTACGGGCCCCTGGAAGCAACAAATAGCGGCACAGCTTCCTTAACCCTGTGGGAGGGGACCTAAGGAAGGAGGGCCGAGCACATTAGGGATAGGGCTTCTATTGCAGATGTATCAGACGAATCCACCTACAGGTTTAGGGATATCCCTAAAAGCCGTGGACCCAAGTTGGGCCACAGATGCATTTGTTCATGTTAGCGTTCGGGTATTGCACTATACTTGATGATCGAGGGGATCTGGGCCTGCGGCACGGGGCGGCGAGGGCCTCCGTGACGACGCCCTCCGCGCTGCCGGGCGCCCAGTCGAAGCGGCCCGCGACCCGCGCGCAGCGCAGGCTCACGGCGCGCCACGCGCCCAGCAGGGCCAGCGAGGTCTGGCCCCGGCCTCTCGGCAGGCGACGGCGCCCCCGGGGGGGGGGGGGCCGGCGGAGGGGCCGCCAGCTTTTGCGCCCCCGTGATTCGTTGCCTCGCATGTGCCAGCGCTGGGAACCGGGCGGGCGCTCCCCCGACCTCTCGGCGGGGCCGCGAGCCCAGACGTGCGATGCCATGCTTTGTGGAACGCACGGGGTCCCCGGAAGTCCCGACCCCGTCCCTTTGGACGCCCGAGAAGTGCAGGGGAAGAACCCAGACATCTTGGAGTCTCGAGAAAATCGTGACGGATGGTTTGCATAGTTGTCGGCCTCTCGGGGCCCTCACCGAGCCTCGGGACTGTCAAAAAAGGCCCGGGATGACGAACCAGTCCTGGGGAAGTGGTCGAGAGGTCGGGGGCCCGTGTCTCAGAAAAATCGAAACGTCGGATGGCTGTGAATGGGTGCGGTGCCCAACAGCAAATGTGGTTCAAAACCGACAACGGTCGCTGTTGGGCAGGCGGCCTTCTGTCTTAGATGGACCGCATGTGCAGCGACGCCGACAGCGAAGCCTGCTCAAAATAGACAGGAAATGCTGTCGGTCTTCGTGCTCATTCTTTCTGGACCCTTGGCGGCACGCACAAGATGGTATAGGGGCAAGGTGGGGAGGCAGGTTAGAGGGAGGCTGTTTCTTTAGGAGGCGCCGGCCCTACGCCTGTAGAGAAGGCCCGCACCGTCTAAGAAACCTTCCCCCGTCCCCCATACCCCCCTCTGCGCGTGGCTTGATAAGAAGGAAAAGGACCCCTAACTCTTTGGGAGGAGACCAGAGTTAGGAGGGCCAAAAACATTAGGTCATTTCTGCGGATGCATCCAACCAAACCGCCCAAATTTGATACCCCTATTGCGAATACGGGGACCTCAGTGAGGCCACGTCTTCACCGTGTTGGTAGGGTTAGGGGTTCTTTTGTTTTCGATGACTGCTGATACCCATTTCGAGCGTACCGATTCCTCAGGGTCGGATTTTCATCCCGAGTCTTTCTCTGGTGACGGCCCCGCAGGGCCCAGCGGGGGCCCCAGAGGCCTAAAGAATGGCACATCAAAGCTCTCGCCTTGATCTGTTGCTACCGGCGCCCGGCGCCAGCGTGCCTGTGAGGACCAGCGGGGGCGGGCCGGAGCAGAGGGCAGGATCAGCCCGCATCGGATCGGGGAACCGGATCGGCTCGAGGTGCTCGGGGAGGCGTGAGGCTCGGGTCAGGGGGACTCGAGCTGGCCCGACGGGGCCATCATGAAAATGGCGCGGCCCAGTCTGAGATTTGACGCGGGCTCCTGCTGCAGACATCCCACGGAAACTGGGTCGGCAAAGTTCAGGACGCGCTCGTCATAAAGCGTCGGCGAACCCGAAATCTGGCGTACTCGAGTCTTACGTTTCTCCGGAATGCGCATCGGATAAAGCCGCATCGGAACGGACAGGCTGCGCCAGAATGCACGACAGCGCTACGCAAACATCGGGCCGAATCGGACCGTCGGCACAGCGGAGCCGAGGCGGAGCGGGCCTGGAGGGCAGCGTCGGCTACACGCAAGAGTGACCCTAGGCAAGAGTGACCTGTGGTGCGCGGCTTCACGAGGGACGCGGGGTGGCCAAACCTGGGCGAGCAAGCCGCTGCTACCGCTTCGCGCTCTGCGATCATGGGACCCCATTGGGCCCGCACAGAAGGTCACGCTGGCGAAAGGTCAACCTTCACCGCGAAAAGTCTTTAGACCCCCCCAACAGGGGGTAACTAATCATCTTTCGGCGACCTTATTGAAGGACTGGGTTCCCACCAGTAGGGGGTAACTAGTTATTTTGTTCCGCGGCACCCGCCGCGCAACAATGACGACGACAGCTACGACTACGATTGCGACTACGACTACGATGGCTACGACTTGTGCCTTATGCCTCAAGGGCGCTCTCACGGAAGCGGGGGGAGGAGCAGGAGGACGGGATTTTGGGACCGGTCCCGTTCACCGCCGGCGGCCGAGCGAAACGGGAGGGCCAACACTGAAGACCTTCAGCGGTTTTGGTCGAGTCGACCGCGGCGGGCCAGGCCCCCGCTGACGGCGCACGCGAGCGAGCGGCCCGGGCAGCCCGGGCGCTGGCGAGAGCGGCGGCCGACGCGGAAGCGACGGCGCACGGCCGGCAGGCAGACCGGGCGGCACGGGCAGCGCGGGCTCAGGGCCAGCCTGCGGGGCCATCCCGGTCCCCCCGCGTCTCGCAAGGATCGAGACAGGGTTTGTTCATTGCTCTTGGCCTCTCGGGGCCCTGTCGGCCTCCAGGGGACCTTGGTCACCGGGGCCAGACCGTCCCGCGTATCAAGACGGGGGATCTGCATGATTTGGGGCCTCGCGAGGCCCTTCCTGAGCTTCCGGGAGCGTCGAAAAACGACCCGGGATGACAAACCAGTCCTGGGGAAGTGGTCGAGAGGTTGGGGGCCCGCGTCGCAAAAAATCGGCAAGCCGGACGTCTGGAGTGTCACACTCAACCACGTGTGAACCCGCCCCCTGCAGGTCAGAATTCGGATGAGCTGGGCTGAGGCTCAGAATTGGAGGAGCGTCTGCAGCCAAGTGGACGCGCCCCTCGCAGCGGGGGTCCTGACGCCCAAGGCCCTCGAAGCGGGGTCGCAGCCAAGGCACGAGAGGGGGGCATCGAAGAGGGCCACCGACGAGACATCGAGGGGACATCCGCGGGCGCTGGGCCATCGAGGAGATATCGAAAAGGAACATGGGCCATCCTTGGGCGAATGGACCTCGGAGAGGGCCCGCTTCCGACACCCCATCAAACATCGGGGGACGTCTGATCTTATTCAGATAGGACGCACTTCCGATCCTCCCCCCGGCTACCTGCAATGACCTCTCTGCAAAAGACATGGATATTCGTGTGCTGCTCCAGGGTACGCAAGCACCTGTGGCCGATATCGTTCTGCGGGGAGACTATTCTGGCCGAGTCAAGTCCGAAGACCTCTGTTAGGGGAACTGAAACCTGGAGGGTGAGGAGGGAGGAGGTGCCTGCCGGGCCGCGCGAAAAGGGGGGATAGCAAAGGGGGGTCTGGCGAATCAGCTCACGCAGCTGATCTCCCCGGCGCCTCCCGGCGCTGGACGCGCCCATGTATCGAGGAAGGCGCCTGGCGGTGGGGCCGAAACCAGCTGCATGTAGCAGAATTTCGTAGCCCCTCCTATCCCTGCCTATCCCCCCCCCTCGTCCGACCCGAGCCTGGGGGGAGCGGGAGGGGGGGAACCGCTGCGCCAAACGCGCGGGACGAGCAGGAAGGGAGAGGGGTCGGGTCCGCTGGGCGGGCTCGACCCCGCCGTGAGGCGCGCGCGCGCGCCGCAGGAGAGCTATAGTGCTTCCTCGACGAAGGGGGGCCCCCCATGGCATCTCGGAGGCGCAGTAAGCAACGCAATCCGATCCGTCGCAGGCACCCCGGGCCCAGGTTTCTGCCCGCTGCGCAAGCCTGGGGCGTATCGCTCTAACGCCGCAGCGTCGGCGGGGGAGGGCCGAAGCGCCGTGCCGAAGCGATGTTCCTCGGCGGGCCCGCGGGCCACGGGCCACAGGCCTCGCTGTGGACGGGGGAGGAGAGGAGGGCTCGCGACGGGCCTGTTAGATGTTTGCGAGTCAGAGGAGAGGATGTCGCAGAGATCACATCGAAGAGGCACGTCGCGCAAGCACAGCCTGCCCCTGAGGGTGAGAGAAAAGGGCGGGAAGGGGATTGGAACTCCTCCGCGGAGCAGAGGAAGAAAATCCTCCTCTCACCTGGATCCTTCCTCTCCTGGTATCTGGCCGGCGTCACGCTCATTTTCGCAATGACGATCTCGAGACCTCTCGACCACATCCCTGGGACAGGTCCTCCATCCAGAGCAGGTGTACCATGGGCCCGGGCCCGAGGCAGGAAACTGGACAACGAAGTTGGTACGAAAACACGCCTCGGCCTCGACTTTCGCACGTTGGCGGCCTGGGATGCACCCCTCCAGAATCGCCCCCTCGACATGTGCACGCGTGCGAATTGACCAGAATTTTGAAAAATCAATCCGTTTCGATGATGTCGTCCCCCAGGAGGCCAAAAACCACGTCCGCACACCTCGATCCTCGTTTTGGGGACCTACCTTCCTCGCATGGGTGGAGCGAGCTCGCTCCACCCATGCGTCGAACGTCCGACGACGTGAGCCAGGCTTGAGTCGACCCAGAGCAGCCAAAGTCGAACTAGAGCCGAGTCGAACAAATCCGTTATAAGTGGCTCCGAAGAACCCCCCCCCACGAACATCGACAGGAGGAGGACGACCGGGAGCACGGCCCCACAGGCCTCGGAAGACATAGGCGAACCGTCATGCTGCACTCCTCTGCCTCTGTCCCCCCCCCCATGATCAGCGGTGGAGTGGGTCGGATGAGCTGCACGTCGACCGCAGCCCTTCCCCGCGCGTGCCATCTTTGCGTTGGGGGAAGAGGGGGCGTGTCCACTGCTAAGGGCGTTGATCGAGTTTGTTGTTCTTCCTGGAGGCTACTGTCCGTCGTGTGTACCCGCCAGCTCCAGGTTGCGCCTGCCTTGCCAGGAGGGTGTCCTCCATACTGTGCTTGTGCTTTGCTTGCCATCGGGCGCTTGGCTAGGCTGCCTCCCGTATGCGCGGGGAGGGGGCGCCTGGCCAGGCGCTCACTGACGCTACAGGCGGAGGACCGCCTCGGAGCTCGGCTAAGAAGAGTGTCCACTGCTGTCATGGCTTCCCTCTGCCGTAGGGACGGGAGCGGAGCGCGCAGGGCCCCCGCCCCCGCCTGACAGGCCGAGGTGGTAGCTCCGGGCTGGCTCGCCCCAGGCCTGTATAGCAGAGAGGGCGCCGCGGCCGCGCGGGAGCCCATCGCCGAGAGAGGCAGCTTCCGAGAGGCCTTCGTGACCACTGCTGAGGGCTGTCAGAGTCAGAACTGATGGCCAGGAAGCGCGATGAGGATGCAGGCCCCGTAGACGCGCATGTCGAAGCTCTCTGAGAGTGTCTGGCCATCGAGAGTGGTTCAGGGTGGACTAAGAGGCAAGGGTGCAAGGGTCACCTTGGAAATGTTACCCGTCCTTATCATCGGCTTCGACTGCAGTATCGGAGCCGTCCAAAGGGAGAGGCGTCCAAGCGAGGGGTCCGCAGATATGGCTGGAAGTGTGTGCGCGGACGAGGGGGGGGGACCAGGGGACTCATTTGAAACAGAAAGAGGGCGCCATGAAACCCGGGGACATGTCGTGGCCCCCGCCGTGCTGTCCACCCCGCCCCCCCCAAGTCATCCCCCCCCCTCTTGGTCGCTCCCCCCATCAGGAAGCAACTCAAGCGGAAGCTTCTTTCAAGAATGATGAAGGGCAACTGAGCCCGACTTAGTTGACCATTGAGCTGGATCAGTCCGGACATCATAAATATATACAAGCTCGGCTTGTTCGAAATCATAATTTTAGCATTTTAGCTTGGGATTAAGCACGGCTAAACTGGGATTCGGACAAATCAAGCCGAACTGTGCCGGATTAGGCCGGTCTTCGACCACGAAAATAGCAGCGCGCCGATGCCAAACCTAGCATCCCAGGCAGTGCATGCGAGCCTCCATTTGTATTGCGCGCCGCGCTCATACCTCCGCGGGCTGCAGCGCTGGAGGGTGACGAAAAAGACAGGGCGCAGCATGCAGCAGCAGCAGCAGCAACCGCGAGGAGCGGCGGGCATGTCACGAGAACGGGAATGGCTGAGAAGCCCAAGTGGGCTTCAAGCGGCAGTGCAGGCTGCAATCGGGTGTAGAGCATCAGGCCATAATATGAGACCATGATCTGAGACTGAACCCCAGGAAGGGGGTGAGGCAAGAAGAGGGGACGGGAGAAGGACCCGGATGGGAAGGAAGAGTAGGACGATTCAGATGTTTCTTGCCTTGCGTGGAGGATAACATGCGGAGATTGAGGAGCAGGATAACTGAAGATAACTGCGCCTCCAGATCGAGGCATGTCTTCCGATACCGGCTTTGGCATCGGCAGCATACGACTGTATCGATCGTTGTCGTCATCATCTTCCTTCTCATCTTGCTCCTCCTCACCACCTTACTCCTCCTCCTCCTCCTCCTCCTCCTCCTCCTCCTCCTCCTCCTCATGCTCCTACTGGTCCTCCTTCTCCTTTTCCTTCTCCACTTTCACCCTATTTCTCCTCCACCCCATTACTTCTCCTCCTCCTCCTAATTCGTTTCCTCATCCTCCTCCTCCTCATTCTCCTCCTCGTCCTCCTCCTCCACCTGATTTTCCTCCTCCTCCTTATCCTCATTCTTCCTCCTCCTCCTCCTCCTCCTCCAACTCCTTTTCCTCCTCGTCCTCCTCCTCCTCCTTCTCCTTTTCCTCCTCCTCCTCCTCCTCCTCCTCCTATTTCGTCTCCTCCTTCTCCTCCCCCTTCTCCTCCTCGTCCTCCTCCTCCTCCTCCTCCTCCTCCTCCTTTTCCTCCTCCTCCTCATTCCTCCTGCTCCTCCTCGTCCTCCTCCTCCTCCTCCTCCTCCTCCTCCTGATCCGTTACCTCCCCTCCCCTCCCCACTCCCCCCCACCCCAGCCGAGAGGCCGCACTGCCCGTGCCAGTGCCGACCGCGGTGCCAGACATTTAGCTCGCTGCAGAAAGGCCGGAAGGGAACAGACTGCGCCCGACGGCCGCCGAGACCTCTGACCACCCCGACAGTTCCGCCAAAACGCTTCGCGGGGGGGAAGGGCGGGACCCGCCGTGGCCGACCCGCCTCCGTGGAGCACAACAGCGCGGCCCAGGTTTTACCTTCACTCCCGGACAGAGAGCGCAACGGCACGGCCGCCGGCGCCCCAGTGCGGTGCCGACTCATTCGGGCACGTTCGGCAGCGGCACGATGCGGCGCGCAGCCGAGGAGGCGAATGCAGCCTCGCTGCCCCCAGCGCAACGCAGGTTCCCGAGAAAGAGCAAAGTCTGCCCGCGCGCCGGCAAGCGCTCCAGGCAGCACGGCACTCGGGGGTGGACCAGCCGTGGCGCTCGGGGGTTGGGGACTCCACGCGGCGGGGGTGCGGGCGGCTCGGCAAAGCGGTCGGGGGGCGGGGAGCGCGAGGAGCAGGACGACGCCGACAGCGGCGGAGGCCGCGGCGGCGCCGACCACGAAGACGACGGTGTGGGCGACGATGGAGGTGGCCACGACGACCACGACGGCGACGGCAGCGTCGACGACCTCGAGGACCACGGCGACCCCCACGACGGCGACGACAACGACGGCGACGCCGACGACGGCGACGCCGACGACGGCGGCCACCACGACCACCGCGACGAGGAAAACGCACACGCAGCGCGGCGAAGGCGCCTGCGCGTCATCGGGGTCGGGCGGCGGCTCCAGGCGCTCCCACACCTCGGGGCGCGGCGCACCCAGAGCGGCCTGGAACCTTCGGTCGGCCAGAACGGGGACAAGATCGGGTCAGAGATCCGCTGGTTTTGGAGGATGGATGGAGCGCCGCGGCCGTTTCAGAGCGCTCCAGGAAGCTCTGAGAGCGTCACGGATCGCTCTGGAAAGACTCCTCCGGTACTGGCCCCGCCAGAGATCCTCCCCGCTCCAACTTTGTGAAAACTTCTGGCCTTGTCCCCTCTTCAACATCCGGAGGCCTCCGCAGTTCTAAGGAGGCCCAGCGAGGCGGGAGGGGGAGCACCATAAATGCTTGAGGTGTTTCGGACGTCCGCGCGCGGTCTCTGCGCTAACCCGTGGACCCCTCCCCGTACACACGCCCCCGCTCGCGGAGCGCGCAAGTGGCGGCGCCGGTGGCGGCGCCGATGGCGGCGCCGATGGCGGCGCCGAAGGCGGAGAAAGCGCCCACAGATGTCCGAGTACGTATGGTTATCCCGGGAGAGAATCGAGAAGCTGTTACTACCAGATGGCCGAGTCTGGAGCTCAATAAGCCCTGGAAACGACGAAACATGTTTTTTTCACGGGTTCCGTGTTGCAAACTGTTTGCCCGTGCTGGCGCCGTTTTTCCCTGTCCCGTCGTAACTTGTTTTCCGGTTCCAGTTGCAATCCTGGGGCAAGTTGTGTCCCGCTTGCAGGAGCATTGCTTGACTCACCGTTGCCATGTGCCAGACATTCTTATGTAATTGCTTCGCCGCGCCGCTCCCTCCAGCTTCCACGTAACATCGAACATGGGACAAAGATGCAAGAGCACACGCCTTCTGCTCCCATGCTGAACGTCGAAGGTGACCAACACCGACCACGTCCACAGCCATAATCAGAATGCCGGCGCAAGGTCTATCATGCGACCAGAACCTCCCAAGATCGAACACAGCGAGGACACACATCCGCCATTTCCACATCTGCTCAATATGAATACTATTATATATTCTCTCCTGCATCTGTACTGAAATTGTCCCGCCCTCTCCACGCGTCGTTTTTACACACGAGATTTCATTAGTTGATATGTCCTATGACTTGTGTATTTGATCCGGTCGTTTTCGGTCCGATGCAACGCGGGCCTCATTTTAGGATCGGCGATTTGCCCCCGTCGTTCAGAATGGCACTCTCGCCCAGGCGCGGGCCACTCTTCTGGATCCAAGCCCTTCCTCATCGTTGTCGCCCCCCTCCTTTCCCCTGCTCCGCCTTCCTCTGGTCCTCCTGCTCCACCCGCTCCTTCCGCTCCAGCGCCTGCTGATGCTGTTCGTCCTTACCCTCCTCGTTCTCCTCCTCCTCCTCCTGCTTATCCTCTCAAACTTTGGGGCTCGGGCGGTTTGCGCCCGAGTCCGCCTCGGCGCTTCCACGTAGCGTTTGAGGGGCGCCGTGCCGCCCACCGCAAGATCGATCGGTAGGCTCTCGCGGCGGCAAAGCCGAGGCATACCAGCCATGTCGGGGCTCGCTCAGAGGCTGTGGGCACGGTGGTGTGGATGCGGTACAGACGCCTGAGCGGAATGAGACATGAAAGAGCAGCGGGCTGAAGTGCTCTCGTTACCATGCGCAGGTCCAACTGCAGAATAGTCAGTGCTCCAAGTTGCCGGAGCACGTTCGTTTCCAAGATGACGAGGACAACGAGCCACTGACACACGCTGGTGCAGGCAAGTCGATCGTAGAGGGCCAGGAATCCCCTGGTTCAGCCAAGGCCCACCTGGCCAAAACTACCAGCACCACACAGGACGCCACCGTCAAGGCCGTCCTTCAGGAGGAGCTGACCAAGCTGGAGGAGCAGGAGGGTCCAGAGGCGCAGTAGATAGTAGTAGAGGAGGTGCGCAAAGTAGAGGCTGCCTGCCGCGATGCGAAGACCAAGCACGATTCGGCTGTACGGTCGGGGGGCTGCTTTCGCGAGACCCTCGCTTTCGCCGAGAAGAAAGAAAGCAAAGGCCGGCGGTCGCCCTGGCTACTAACAACAGCAACTAAGCAAACGGAGACGCACCCATTGGCTCACACGGACCAAGCGGCCGTGACAAGGCCGACAATGGGAAACCGATCTTCAACTTATCATGTGATTAGTCCGTCCTCGCTGGCATCGATGATCTCGAGCAGGCCGAGAAGGATATCATGACCAATCTTGAAAAATCTGAAGGCGTCCAAGAGGCTGAGATCCGATGGTGGCTGTTACGTACTTATGAGATTCGCAAGCAGGTCGAGAATCGCATGAAGAAGAATAATACGAAAAATAATAAGAAACGGCGCACACAGGATAGCGCTGAAAGTGCAGCTGTAGCGGCCGAAGCTGCAGCCAAGGCGGCAGCAGCCGCTGCCAGCAGCGCCGAGGGCAAGGAGGCGGCAGCGGAGGCGGCTGCGGCAAGTGGCGCCCCAGACAGCAGCGCCTCTGCTGACAGTGGTAACGCTGATGGTGCCGCACCAACAGCAGCAGCTCGTGAAGAGGCGGTGAAAACCGAGGCGCAGAAACGTTCGGAAGCAAAAGTCGCTGCTGCCGCAACCGTGAAGGAGCGGAATGGGAAGAGCCTTGTCGCAAGGTCTGCCCAGGCTAACGGTAAGGTCTTCACCCCTGTGAGATCGTCCGCGTCGACACCTGCGGCGTTGGCGCAGCGGCGAAAAGAGTCTACAACGCATGGTGAGTGCTCGCCTACCCCTTCCTCTTCAATGTCTAGTTCTATGTCGTCAACGAGCTGCGCGTCTACGGGTAAATCATTCCTTGGCGCGTCCAATAAAGATTCGCAGGGGGGCAGCTCCCAGTACGGCAACTTCAGGCTCACCGTTGGAGGGTGCACTCCCAATGGATCATGATTCCACTGATGGTGCGGACGATCCGAACACATCCATTCTTTTCGGTGGTGTCACGTGCGCACGGTTGACAAAACATGGGGATACTTATATGGACCGGGATGTGAATTTCAAGTCATGGCTGTGGCTGAAACTTATGTAGCTCGGCGCAATATTTGGCAATGTGACAAGAGGTTCTGCCACGAGAGACTACGTCTTCATGAGAATCCTGCACGAGAAGATCGTCATGCCAAGCCAGCGGCTGCTAGTCAGGAAGCCAAGGCCAATGAAGGAGATGAGTGGGTCGTTAGCCGAAGTCACCTTCAACTGCGCAGCCTTGACTCCGTTTGAAAAACTCAAGTTGTGAGAGCAGGTGGCAGTCACAAACTGGATGGGATGATGCCAGTTGTCATTCAGATGTCTGGATATGCTGTGCTGTATGTCTACTTCTACGGCACCAATACCATTCGTTTCAATGGTGCGAACTCGATCAGATATTAGCGCTTAGGCGCCCTGCTGCATGCTGGAGACTTCAACATAGAAGAGTCAGCCATCACGAAGTCTGCCTTCGCCGCTCGAGTGGGAGGGCACGTTTCAGCTCCAGTTGTGTAATGCACGTGTGATGCGAGTGATGCAGGTTCGACCGTCGATCACGTAATGCGCAGCACGGCGGCGCTGCGCTGGCGTACGTGAAGACGGTCAAACCATGTCTTCTCGGTGCTGCGGTAGATGGGGCGTACAAAGACACACTAGTACTATACAGTATGTCCGCCTTGGAGGCGTTCGTCCAATCCGAGTATATAGTATCAACATCTTGTGGTATATCGCTTCCCGAATGGTATGACCAGAAAGCGCCCGCCACGGTGCGCATACTATAAGATTTCTTGGTGCGCGAGTCGCCTCCGGGGGTCGACGCACACATGGTATTAGTAAATCGGTGTGACGCCGAGTAGACTCACATAGGGCTGTCCATGCAGCTCGGACAACATGGAGCGCAACTTCTGACTCGTCCTCCGGAGATGGCGGCGAAGCTGCCGCAGCAGACAGCAAGGCCGGGCACGGAGCCCACAATCGGCTCGAGGTCTGTCCGCGCCCGTGCCGAGCGCAACGTTGCCGGGAAGGAAGCAGCCGTCGATTGTGCGGAACATATTCTGAATTGTCTGGTGGTCAGCCCTGGGACCTCCCCGAACCAGTGGCGGTCCCACCGACGTCGGGAAAAACGCTGAGTGAAGTCGTTTCAGTCAGAGGAGGACCCCCGGGCGTCCGATTTCAATTGCTTTTGCCCCGAGCAGCCTGCGAGGACATGTTCTTCCCCCAAAAACATGCACATTTCTCGCAGTGCTTCCGAACCACGCTCGGCTATGGACACGGTTGGAGAGGTCGACGTCAGCTTCGATTTGGCGTCTGATCGGTGCCCTGCGGCGGCTTCGGGGCGGGGGGCTTTGGTCCCAGCTCGTGTTGGTGGTCGGGGTCCCCTGTGGGTTTCCTGGGAGCCCCGTGGATACCATAGCCAGTCCAACTACTCAGTTGCAGAAAAGCAATTCGGCTCAGTCCACTAGCCCCCGTGCTATTAAGGCTGAGCCTACATATGCTATTCCCGAAGAGTCCTGGGAGGAACAGAGAGCCTTCATAGGTTTCGGATCGTTGCCCCCTCCTTTCTCCCCCCAACATCGAAACCTTTGCGGTTTATCAGGTCGACCCCACAAGGTGCCAGGTCGTCAGCGAGATGTATGCGTCTTGGGCTGCTACGTTAGAGGCCGCGATCCTAGCCCACCGCCAAAAGAAACAACCACACGGGGTTTCGCTGGCAGACGTTCCTCGTTGTTTCGTTCATGAAGAAGAGGTTGGCCAGAGATCTGCCGACCTTCGGCGTGTGCGAGAGGCTTTGCCCTCGTCGTCGTCGTCGTCGTCGTCGACAGTCCCAAGGAAATTGAGCAACAAGGAGCAGAAACGTCGCAGTGCAATCCCCCTTTTTCCCCTCCCTGACGGGAAGCGAGGGGGTCCCAGGTCAGAATGCCACCGCCCCCCCACGTGTCCCGGTGGGTCGTGGAGGGATCCGGGGGGGGTCGCCAGCGGGGGTCCTGTGGGAGGTCCCACCTTCAGGGTCGGCGGCACAGGCCGCAAGGCCTTCGCAGCATAAATTAGCTCCCCTACCAGTTGGTTGGCATCTTATTGGGGATCGATAAGAA